CTGGGAAAGCAGTCGAGGATGGCCCAAAGCTTTGGGACCCTGCACACGTGGGGATACCCAGAAGTTCCTGGATCCTGGCTTCAGATCGGCATAGCATCGGCCGTTGTGCTCACTTGGGGAGTAAATCATCGGATGCAAGATCTTCCTCTTTGTCTCTCCTCCTCTCTGTATATCAGACTTTCCAATAAATAAATAAATCTTTTAAAAATAGATATATACATATATATATACATATATTTAGCAATTTGTACCAGTTTGAGCATAATCTGTTTTCACCAGGTAGCCTATTAGAATCATTACTCTGATGGCCTGGGCCCAGAATATTCTATTTACTTCCTAGAAGAAGTGAATTTTAAATTTCTACTACTGTATTTTTAATCCCAAAGAGTGATTCATTATTACTTAAATCATGTTTACCATATTTACAGTGATATCATTGATACATTATGGATTTGTATGATTTTTCTTTCTTTAGATTTTTCTTTACTTGAGAGGCAATGTCTTTGTGTCATCCTTTTGTAGTTTTATACAATCTCTTCTTGTTTTCTTTACATAACTGACCCGTTCATCCAGGTTGTTTTCTTCCTGGTGATCTTTGATTCTTTATTTACATTTGCAAGAAGGACACTCAGTGCATGGGTGTAGCTGAACTGTGGTCTTTGATAAAGGATGACTTGAGTGGGACATTTTGTTGAAAAACCCTTGTTTCCATTATCTTCAGTTTTTTCTTTCTCTTTGAATAGTTATATATATATTTTAAAGATTTTTAAAATTCTTTTTTATCATTGGAAAGGCAGAGATACAGAGAGAAGGAGATCCAGAGAGAAAGGTCTTCCGTCCACTGGTTCACTTTGCAAGTGGCCACATCAGCCGGAGCTGAGCCAGAGTTGAGCTGATCTGAAGCCAGGAGTCAGGAGCTTCTTCCAGGTCTCCCTCACAGGTGCAGGGTCCCAAGACTTTGAGTCATCCTCTATTGCTTTCCTAGACCAGTTAGAGAACTGGATGGGAAGTGGAACAGCCAGGACACAAACCATTGCCCATTGTAGGATCCTAGCTATCGGAGTGGGAGGATTTAGCGAATTCACTAATCATAACAGACTCGAATAGTTACGTGTTTTTAAAAACCAGGATGAGAGAAAGAGGAGCTGGAGCTAAAGCGAGACATCTCTTCTCCCATCTTATGACTCACTCCCAAAATGCCTACAACATCTTATGTGGGCCGAGTGGGAACCAGGAGCCAGGAATCCCCATCCCAACCTCCAGTTTGCACTATCCCACTGCCTTCCTATGCATATTAGCATGGAGTTTGATTCCAAACAGAGCATTACAACTCAAACCAGCATTCTGAAATGGGATGTTGGCATCACAAGCTGTGGCCTAACATGCTGCACCAATGCCTACCCCTCGTCTTCATGTTCTTCATTTTCTTTCTTCTACCCACTCCCAATTTCTCTGTATCTCTTTCTGTTTCCTCAGCCCTCCAGTCTATGCTTTTGTTCCTATCAACCCAGCTTTTTATGGAAATTTCTCCATCTCAGAGACTAGATAATTACCCTCATTTTCTATTCCTCAGAGGCTATCTCCTTCTTTAACTGCCTATTTGTAAGCCTACCTTAATTTCTTGTTGTTGTTGTTTTTAATATTTCATTCATTTGAAGTGAACAACTCCTGCATATTTCATGATACAGATTTAGGAGCATAGCAATACTTCCCATCCTACCCTCCCCCAACCACTTTCCCCACCCACCCTCCTCCTTCCTTCCTTCCTTTTTTACATTATTAATTTTTTAATGATTTATTTATTTATTTATTGGAAAGTCAGATATACAGAGAGGAGGAGAGATAGAGGAAAATCTTCCATCTGATGATTCACTCCCCAAATGAGCACAACGGCCGATGCTATGCCAATCCGAAGCCAGGATCCAGGAACTTCTTCCGGGTCTCCCACATGTGTGCAGGGTCCCAAAGCTTTGGGCCGTCCTCGACTGCTTTCCCAGGCCATAAGCAGGGAGCTGGATGGGAAGTGGAGCTGCCAGGATTAGAACCAGCACCCGTATGGGATCCCGGGGCACGATCAAGGCGAGGACTTTAGCTGCTAGGCCACGCCACCGGGCCCTTCATTATTAATTTTTACAAAAGCATATTTTCACTTCACTTCCCAATCACAGGTTCAACACGTCAGTAGGTAAAGATGGCAAAACAATAGCAAATAGGGAAAAAATAATCCTACATAGCAACTAAAAAAATAATTAAATAGAATGACCTATTCCTCAAGATCATAAGCAAATGCTGTAAAAAATAATCAATTTCTAGGATGTCACTCTTGCTTTGATGAAAATACATTTTTTTGTATTCTGTATATTAGTTTGCACAGATCAGGAAAAGCATGACATTTTTGTTTTCTTGATTGACTATTTTAATAAGCATAATGGTTTCTAGTTGGATCCATTTAGTTGCAAAAGAAAATATTTAATTCTTTTTCATTAGCTGAGTAATATTCCATAGTATATATATACCACATTGTCTTTACCCAGTGATCCACTGATGGACATCTGCATTAACTCCATATCTTAGCTCTTGTGAGTTGGCTGGCTATAAATGTAGGGTTATAGATATTTCTCTCTTACTTTGATTTCATTATCCAGAGTAGGATGGCTAGATCAAATAGTTAATCCATTTTCAGATTTCTGAGGAATCCCCATGCTGTGTTCTATATGGTTTGTACCAGCTTACATTCCCATCCACAGTGGATTAAAGCCCCTTTCTCTCTTTTTTGACATCTTCATCAGTAATTATTGTTTTCTGATTTCTGTATGATAGCCATTTTAACTAGGGTGAGGTAAAATCTCATTTTGGTTTTTATTTGTATTTCCCCAGGGGCTAGTATTTTTCATATGTCTGTGGCCATTGGGATTTGTACACCTAACTATGCTTCTTAGTTTTTTAAAAAAACACTTTCTTTAAACCTTAGGCTTCAGTCCTAGGTTTCTTATTCTTTTAAATCTCCCCTTTAAAGAAAGGAAGAATGCTCTTTCTGTAATATTTTTTCCTTTCAATATACTCCACTTAGTTTTCTGTATAAGCTTCTTGTGAAAAATTGCATTCTCAATTAAACTATCAATCGTTCTTGGCCTTCATCTACTTCTCTTCTTGTGTTTCTTTTTCCTCTGCTAATTTTTGTCTTGCCCTTGTTTTCGCTCTCAAATTTCTTCCCTTTTTGTTCCTCATCTCCCACATGAACTAGACATGTGGTCTTCTACTTTATTTCTTTTTTTTTAATTTTAATTTTATTTTTTATCATTTTATGATACAGTTCCATAGGCCATGAAATTCCCCTTATCTTTTGCCCAATTCCCTCTTCCCTCACTGAGTTCCCCTGTATCGTTACTATAGTATGGTTCTTCATACACAGCCATATGTCCATCATTGCAGGCATGGACAATGGCAGAGAGTCCAGCATCCTATGGTCAAGATCTAATAAACAGTTTCATTGAGAGCCCATCTTTGTCTGGAAGTAGAGAAGCATACTGCATTGTATCCTTACGTCTGGGTATGATAGTCTTCATTACACAGTTACTATACATCCCCTTAAATTAAAAGCCACAATATGCTTCCTACTAAGACACCTGGGAAAGCAGCAGAATATGACCAAGTCCGTGGACCACTGCACCCATGAGAGAGACCTTGATGAAGCTCCTGGCTCCTTGCTTCAGCCTGGCGCAGCCCTGGCCAGTGCAGTCATTTGGGGAGGGAATGGGTAGATGGAAGATATCTCCTCCTCTCTCTGTGAAACTCTGCCTTTCAAATAAATAAATACTTTTAAAATAGCGTGAATTTTGATAATGTTAAGTCTGCCATTGTTATACTTGAGACTTCCCATCTCTTTTCTGAGTGCTTTTTATAATTCCATTTTATCCCAATTTTATTATTTTCTTTCTGTCTTCAAAAGATTTATTTGTTTATTTGTTTAAAACAACTTAGAGAAAATCTTCCATCTGCTGTATTACTTCCCAAGTGGCTACCACAGCCAGGGTTAAGCCAGATCAAACCAGGAGGCTGGCATTCCATCTGGGTTTCCCAGAAGAGGAGGCAGGGGCTGAAGTACTTGAACCATCTGCCACTGTTTTCCCAGGAACATTAACAGGGAGCTGGGATGGAAACTGGTGCACATATGGGATACTGGTGCTGCAGCTGATGACTTCACCTACCCTGCCACAACAAGTGGCTCCTGTCACTGTACCTTTCAAATAATAAACTTTAAAGAATGAAAACAAAAAAAAAAAAAAAGAAAAGCCACAAAACAAAACCAACAACAGGAAATAAAAAGAGAAATCAACAACACCATGAAGTTAAATAACATGCTACCAAATGACTAATGTGTCGCTGAAGAAATAAAAAAGAAAATCAAGAACCTTCTGAAAGAAAATGATGCTGCTGTATGATCTATAAGTCATTGAAGAATTTACTGAGAAGAAAGTGTTTTGAAGAGATGAAACTAACAAAAAAAATCAAAATCCATGAGATATAGTTTCCTCTGATCTTTGGAGGTGAAATGTGTCTCCTGTAGGCAACAAATAGATGGGTTTTGTTTTTTAATCCAGTCTACTAATCTATGACGTTTGATTGATGAGTTTAAGCCATTTACACTCAGGGTTAATATGAATTATTGGTAATTTGATCTTGTCATTTTAGCAATGGGTTGTTCATGGATTTAGCCTTCTGTTGTTATTTTACTGGAATGTTCTTCACATTTGCCTTTGGTTTTGGTGGGCACTGTTCCTTTTCTCTGTCAAGAGAACATTTTTAAGTATCCCTTGTAGGGCAGGTTTGGAAGGGGCATATTCTTTTAATTTTTCCTTGCTGTGGAAGAATTCTTAGGCCACCTGAAGAACAAAGCTACTAAAAGTTCAAAGTAATATAAAGATTGTTGAGATTTTTTTTTTACCCAATTAAAAGTCACAATTTTGAGTAACATTAATAACTTGACATTTCATATTTAGGCAGGAGCTGTGAAGGATTATATTAAGATGATGCTCCAAAATGACTCACTTAAATTCCTGGTTTTTGCACACCATTTGAGCATGCTCCAGGCTTGCACAGAAGCGGTCATTGAGAACAAGGTATGTCAGCGTTTTTAACAATATATTCTAGGAATGTCAATTTGTACTATATTAAACATTGATTATAGCCCCTATAATTGAAAGAACTTTTTTGCCTTCTTTATATGATAGTATATGAATTATTTTGTTTTTTTCTTGAAAACATATTAATGTATAACTTTATTATATTGACTTACTGCTATATCAAGCTGATTGTTTCCACTAATCAGGTTATCTGGGTTAATTAAAGACATGCTCCATGTGAACTTTGTTGATCTGGTGTATCCGAGATTACTTTAGAAAGTTCATGGACAATTGGAGTTAAAAAGAAGTGTTCATAGGTGCAGCGCAGTAGCCTAGGTGCTAAAGTCCTCTCCTTGCATATGCTAGATCCCGTAAGGATGGCGGTTCATGTCCCAGCTGCTGCACTTCCCATCCAGCTCCCTGCCTGTGGCCTGAGAAAGCAGTAGAGGACAGCCCAAGGTCTTAGGACCCACTTAGGGGACCCAGAAGAAGCTTGTGGTTCAGATCGTTTCAGCTCTGGCCTTTGTGGCCAGTTGGGGAGTGAATCAGCAGAGAAAAGATCTTTCTATTTGTTTCTCCTTCTCTCTGTAAATCTGATTTTTAAAAAATCAATCTTTAAAAATTTTATTTATTTATTTATTTATTTATTTATTTATTTTTAAGATTTATTTTATTTTCATTATAAAGTCAGAGATACAGAGAGGAGGAGAGACAGAGAAGAAGATCTTCCATCCGATGATTCACTCCCCATGCAGCTGCAATGGCCAGTGCTGTGCCGATCCCAAAGCCGGGATCCAGGAACTTCTTTCTGGTATCTCACACAAGTGCAGGGTCCCAAGACTTTGGGCCGTTTCCACTGCTTTCCCAGGCCACAAGCAGGGAGTGGGATGGGAAGTGGAGCTGCTGGGATTAGAACCAGGGCCCATATGGGATCCTGGGGCGTTCAAGGCGAGGACTTTAGCCACTAGGCCACGCTGTCGGGCCCTAAAATTTTTTTTAAAAAATGCTCATTTCCCACAAACTTATTTAAATATTCCAGTAGAAGAGTGTCTTCAGACATTTTATGGAAAATACATAGAATAAAAATACTACATGTGTTTCAAAAATTTTTTTAATTCATAAAATTGTTTTTTCCATGAACTCTTTAGGGAATGATATACACACTTAAAATTAAAATTTTTGTTTGCCCTTTATGGTGGTCCTTCAATGTGGATGACACGGAGAAAAAGTAAAAACAATTCAGCCAGCTATGGTTCCCCACTTTAGTCATAGACCCAGGAACACTGGACTCTGTAGTCTGAGCACAGGTAATTTTGAAGCTCATGGTTAGTGCCACCAAGCCAGCTAGCTCTCACTGTACTTTGTTAGGTGGACATTGATCTCTAGCAGTCCTGATAGCATCTTCCAATTTTTTTTTTCTCACCAAGTTCATATCTATCATCTGCTCTCTTGAAAAGCCAATTGTGACATACAGAGATATACTGTCATTTGCATCTCTGACATCCTGGCATCCTTCACTGTATTGCTAGAATGAGTCCCAGCTATTCCACTTTCAATGCAGCTCACTGCTAATGCATGGGAGAGCAGCCAATGGTGGCCCCTTCGCCCCTGCCACCATGTAGAAGTGAAAATGGAATTCTCCTATTCTGGCTTCATCCCGATCCAACCCCAGCCATTGTCGACATTTGGGAAGAGTAAACCAGCAATTGGAAGATCTGTTTCTCTGTCGTTCTCTTTCAAATAAATGCATAGAACTTAAAAAAAAAAAAAAAAAAACCTGAGGGCCTCACATGATGTTCAGAGCAATCTTAAGAAGTTTCCTGAAAAATCATATGAGCATAATATTCATGAAATGACACAGCCATTTGCTTTTTAGGTGGATTTTTTTTTAATTGTGAGTACAGTGATTTTTTTTAATTAAAAAAAAAACCTTCATTTAAGCTTTGCCCAATAGGTGTAGTGTTTCATACTAGGATTTCTAATGACAGGTTATAAGTACTTTTTCATTAATTATCACATATAATGTATGAAGAAAACATTCATTAGCCTTAGAAAATTTTTTAAATACTTGGGTAATAAAATTATACCCATAGTATTTTTTTAAAAGATTTATTTTTATTATTTTTTTATTGGAAAGACAGATATACAGAGATGAGAGACAGAGAGGAAGATCTTCCATCTGATGATTCACTCCCCAAGTGAGCGCAACGGGCCGATGCTATGCGGATCCGAAGCCAGGAGCCTCTTCCGGGTCTCCCACACGGGTGCAGGGTCCCAAAGCTTTGGGCCGTCCTCGACTGCTTTCCCGGGCCACAGGCAGGGAGCTGGATGGGAAGCGGGGCTGCCAGGATTAGAACCGGCGCCCATATGGGATCCCGGGGCATGCAAGGCGAGGACCTTAACCACTTGCGCCACCGCGCCGGGCCCCATAGTATTTTATAAATTTGATTTGTAACGCCTTAAAACTACTGGGACCTGTTTCAAATAAGGCAGTCTGTCTATTTTATTTTATTTTATTTTATTTTATTTTATTTTATTTTATTTTATTTTATTTTATTTTATTTTTGGCTTTACTGATATGCTCAGAATTCCATTTAGCTTTGCTGCAAATGAAAAGTATGAGTATTCCTAGGGTTAGAGTTGAATGTCTCCTAAACTCTCCTTAGCTTGTCCATGCATTTTGGTAGATACATTCTGAAAAAATTTGTGTGACTTTCCTTATTAGATATTTAAGGGAAGACAGGTCAGTTTTTATTTGTTTTTTGAAAATGTGCAGGTCACAGGGATCCCCAGGTAGCTCTATTTATTCTTGTCTAAGAGCAAGAATGAAAGCAAAATTCATTTTAAAAGATTAAAGAAATAATACACATTCAGAGATGAATATGGACAGCTTCTCTCTATGTGGAGAAAGTAGCATCTGTCCCCACTCAAGTTCAGGTCACCCCTCATTTGGTGGCAGTTTGTTCCCTGATGGAATGTGCACTTGGTACAGAGTTGGGGTAAAAGCTTCATTGCATATGGACCAGCCGCACTCTGGTCTTCCTGGTGTCTTATGGGTGATGGGGAAATGGATGTGAAGATCCCTCAGGCATGCTGACCCACCATGAAAGTAAGTGGAGTGTGAGCTGTTGAGGGTTCTAGAACAGAGGACCACTCGCCCTGTTTGGCTCCTTTGTTAACTAGCTTCCTGCCTAGCCCATTTCAAAGGCAAGTAGCTAGGACCATTCTTGTTAATGACAGTTGGAATATTCCCTTATAAAAGTGAATATTTGTATCTCAACCAAAGCTGTTTTCCATAAAGTGCATATATTTCAAATTTAGACTTTGTCCTTGTTTTTGCAAAGTTGAGAAATGACTTTATAGCTTTTGTAGTACACACTGATTGCTTCCTTTTCTCAACTCTAATCCTTAAAGACAACATTGTTCAGTTTCCTTACTTTTTAAAGATGTGTGTGGGTGTCTCAGTTCTCCACCTCAATGGAGACAACTGTATCACATGTTTCTTTTAATGGTGTGTTAAAAAAGAAAAAAGATCTCTGATAGAAGTGTTATTTTCTCAGTTAATATTTGGGCTATTTCAGAAATAAATGCAGCGTTCTTTGTGAATCCTTAACATATAGCACAGTCATCTTTCTCCTTTCTCACATGTCTTGCTTTGTTTCTACCCTGGAATTAGTGGTCCTAAAAGTTTAAATTTATTCTGACTCATCATTTAAAGTTTTCCTATGATTTACAAAGAATCTTTTTAAAGATAACATCAGCTTTAATCAAAAAAGTTTGGTACAGCTCTTGGCATTAATGGTATAAAAATGAATTAGACATAAAACACCATCTTCAAGTCGCTAAAAACACTAAAAACTAAGAAATTGTTACAAGAATCTATTAAGACGCTTGTTTAAGATTTTTCTTGCGTAATATTTACCTACCTGTCATCTTAGACCCTTTCTTTCCATTGTTTTTGTGACTCTAAAAATAAGCCATACAATACTAAAAAATAAAGTAAGATTGGTGCAGAGGGGCCTGTCCTAATTTCTTCCATTTCCATTGTTGGTGCTAGACTCGTTATATTAGGATAGATGGCAGTGTTCCATCTTCAGAAAGAATACATCTGGTCAACCAATTTCAAAAGGATCCTGACACCCGGGTGGCTATCCTAAGCATTCAGGCTGCTGGCCAGGTAGGTGCTTTAAAACCCGCATTTGATAATGAAATATCATTGAGATAATTTAGAAAAGCCATTAACCATACCTTCAGTTTTATAACCCTGTAACTTTTTTATCTGGTCAACTAGTGGAATAAATACTCATTCTATTTCAGAGAGTGCCATAAAATATGATAGAAATAGGTTTCAGTGTCTCATTCCTGTCCATGATCTTTTGTTGTTTGAATTTGCACTGAATTTTCTCAAAGTTCTCTTACAGCACTTACCTGACTTGGTTGTATTTCCTCAGGGTTTGTGAGGTAAGGGGACCTGAGGGACCTTTCCTGACTCAGAACTGTTTCTGGAGTCCTGGTTTTATCTGTTGGTGTTATATTTAACTGCACATAAATGCAGCTCAGATTAAGAACAATGCAGATATACAATTGCATTCTCCTGTAGCCTGGCCAAGCCTCACTCAGCAGTTCCACAGAGTCATTAGGACCCTTTTGGCCTTTTTTTTTTTTAACCGCGTTAAGCAGCCTGATGGAGTGGCTCCAGCAGTTGCTGAGGAGAAGCACACTGCATCTGCCTGATCTGCATTTAGCCGCACGGCTGCCTGTGACTACTGGGGAAGCTGAGGGAGTAGCTGCTTTTCCTGCCATCCCAGCCACCTGCCCAAGCAATCAGGTGTTGTGTTACAAAGCAACCACCCCAAGATCCAAGTCCAGGAAAACAGTGGCAGCCTCTGCAATTCTGGCAGAAGGGATCTTTCTGGACAGATTTTTTGTTTGTTTCTCTGTTAACATTTAGAATGTTTCAACATAAATGTCGAGTCAACATACTTATCCTATGGAAGTTAACTGGCCTTATAGCTATGTCTAGTCTGGTATATGCCAAAGATCTGACTTTTTTTCTACCCCCAATTTTCTTTTTCTTTCTCCTGTATCTGAGGGAAGAGGGAAGACAAGTAGAGAAGCCATATCTAGCCTCCTAACTACCCTACTACCCAGAGATGGGGAACAGCCACCTGATAACCCAGGCTCCTCAATGTGGAGCAGGTTTCAAGGGTTCTATATAAGTGGTTTCAGTAGTTCTGAAATGCTGTCAGTTTCACCAATCCAAGGATGAGGGAATCTTTCCAATGTCCATTGGTTGACCTAGTCTTCCTTAGAGTCTCTATTTGCCCAGATATTTGCCGCCATTGTTTGGCTGGAGTAGTTGTCCAAGTTGTTCTGTTTACTGCCTCTGCTATTGTACCAGATATCCTCTGCAGGCCCCAAATGGACTGCCATATCCTCCATGTGCATCTGGACCTGCTGTCCACTGCTCTGTCTTTTCCACTGAGGAGGCCCAGTTCTGACATGCACTCAACAGTCAGTCCACCAATCCTGGATGTGAGCCCTCAGGTCGTTGCACGCCCCTGCCAGTGCCAACCCCACTCCCCCTGCAAGCCCACACACCAAGCCCCCACAAGCATGCACCAGGTAACTACTGGGCTTTACCCAGCTCCATTGGTGCCCCAGGTCGCCTGACCCAGGCTGCACTGGGCCCCTTCCAATGCAAACCTGCCCGCTACCTCCACCCAGGTGGGATAAAGGACCCAAGCCCCGCCAGATCCCTGTGGCCTGGGCTCATTGGCCTAACTCCCACCTTTTACCCATGTGATGCAATCAGAGATTCATGGATAAAACAGCACTAGAACTGTCAATAATTCAAATCAAAAATATTATGTCAATACTTACACATGTTGTGTTAAATTTTTCAATAAAATGACATTAAATATTTGAATATCCAGTCATAGAGATCATCAGAGGGGCTTTAAAAATTAGAAATTAGAAATAGAGTACTCATTACAGGGATTAAGTGGGAGAAAGCTAGGCAAGGGAATATGAGACTTTTTTGAATTAAGAAGTACAATGTAAAAATAAAAGTGATTTTGAAATTAAGAATGCATAGAAGATGCACATTGTATTCAAAGGATTATTCCTGTAGAATTTATATAAATCCCGATGCACATATTTGGAGACTATTATTGTCATGAGAATAAAGGAAAATGGAAAACACTTTGTTCTTGCTATTATAAATCTTAGTTTTAGTGTTCTAGCTTCTCAGAGTAAAATCGATACCAACCTATTTTTCCAATATTGTATTCTTATGTGGTCATATGGCGCATTTCACAGTTAGAGTTGTTCCTCTTCTTATATTTTCACTATTATCTCTAATGTTCTATGGCATTTTCAATCCTGGGTAATAGTGTGGTCTAACATCGTGATTGATTGACTCTGCCTAGGTTTTAATTGCTTTTATCTTGCTTTCTAACGTGACTAATTTTTAGTGAGTTTTCCAGCTTGGTAACTAGTGCAACCAGCTAGTGAATGCTAATATGACTAGTTTTATGAAAAGATGTAATATGAAAAGTTTTGAGTTATTCTATATTATACCATAATTGTAGCAGAGTAGTCACAAAAGTCAGTTATTCGTAGAAGTGTGTGAGCAGCATGGTTAGACGGCACTCCAAAAGGACAGTGGGACTGACAACTACCTAGTATCATTGACTACTGTGTGGCAGTGATAAATCCATGATTCACACTTCATTCTGCCTACCTACTTTAACATCATGCATTTTTGGCTATAGTTTAATTTTAGGAGATTTACTTTGTTTCCTGCATTGATTATAAGAGTTAGTATTTTCATGTTACACTATTTCAAACTCATGTAAAATGCAATTGTTCAAAAGGTATAGTTGCATTATGTACATATTGAGACAGAAAGCAGTAAACTTCAGGATCTGTGAGATGTAACATGCGGAATTTCACAGGAAGAAAACAGTATGACTGGAGCCTTGATTTTTTTATTTTATAGCCTGGCATTAAGAATTAAATAAAGGGGATGTCAATATACTCTTCCTAGTTGCTATGGATACCATGTGTTAGAAATTATATTATTTATAATGCATTTTATTAGATTTTCCAGTAGCAATGTGAATTCAGTACTCATTAGAGGATACAATGATTTTGTTTATATATATCCATCATACTGACTTTTGAAGTACTGAAATAGCTTTTAAATGTATTTTTTATAGTTCACCTGAATATATTGCAATATACAGTTCTCATTCACCTTTCATGGATAAAATATGAATTTGGTTTAAACAACTGATTTCTTTTAAGTCCTTCCATGTTCCCTTCTTCCCATTTAACACATTCAGAAAAATTGTATTATATGTGATTTTATGTTTTATTCTCATTTTGTGTGCCATTTCAGTGTTTACCTTATTTTATGTAGGGTTTAACATTTACTGCTGCTAGTCATGTTGTATTTGCTGAGTTGTATTGGGACCCTGGACATATAAAACAAGCCGAAGATCGTGCTCACCGAATTGGACAGTGCAGTTCTGTGAATATTCACTACCTGATCGCCAATGGAACTCTAGACACTTACATGTGGGGGATATTGAATCGTAAGGTAAAGCTTGGATTTGATACCCAGTCACTAACTTACTTGCCGTGATCCATACCTTACATGAATTAAGAGGCAGAATTTGATGTGTTCAGGGAAAGGCTATTTAACAAACCACACCATGATAATACAGTAATAGAAACCAAGTTCAGAAAAGGCTTCAGTTAGTAGTACCTTGCCTGCTATCCTGTGTAATAAGAGGCTTGATTTTCCATGTGTTCCTATCATCTTCTGAGCCTTTCTTCTACTTCTTCAGTGGCTGGGGTTACCAAGGAATCAGAATGTTTCAAGCCCCATGTCTTTCTGTAGCCACAAGGATTCGTGAGTTTCTAGTTTTAGAAAAAGGACAGCCTATACCCAGGCTTTGGAAACACAGGAATGATGTTGTTTGCTGTCTTCTCTCTGTAGTCTTTTTTTTCTCTCCAACTTTGAAGGGTGTTTATAGAAAGAATTTGACTAGGGATTAAAGGATTTTCTGTTTTAGTCCACTCAGGATGCTATAACAAAGTACTGTGGACTGAATGGTTTATAAATAACAGAAATTTATTTTTGAGTTTTCTGGAGGCTGGCCTTTCAGCGTGATCCGGTTCTTGTGAGGACCTTTTCTGAGTTGCAGATTTACTTCTTCACATAGTGGAATGAGAGCAAGAGACCCTTGGTATGAGCGGAATTCCCATTTGAAAACTCTACCTCCTTGACCTAATCACCTCTGAAAGCCCTAGCTTCCCAAAACTATCCTACTGAGAGTTAGATTTCAACATGAGGATACTGGAGAACCAAGTGCATTACATTATGCCTTGGCCTCCAAAATCCATGTCCTTTTCACATGAAGACTTCATTCTTCTACCTTAATGGCCATTGTTAACCCTAAAGTCTCAAATAACCTTCTAAATCCAATGAGAGTAAGTAAGACTTATCCTGAGGCAAAATTCCTCTCCATTCTTGAACCTGAGAAACTGAAAGAGTTGTGTGCTTCCAAACTACACCTAAGAGACAAGCATGGAGCAGACATTCCCAATCCAAAAGGAGAAAACAGATGAATGACTGATTCCAAGAAAGTCTAAAGCTTAGCAAGGAAAACTGTGTAAAATACTGTGCTCAAAATTAATCCTCCTTGGATGCATACTGTGCCTTCTGAGCCCACTGTGGGAATGTTCCTGCCTTCTGGATCCAGTAGAGTGAAAACATTGGCTAGATAGACATTGCCCAGACCAGCTCTCTGTGGTGGCCTCACCCAAGATGTAGTTCTCTGTGGGAGGAGGAATCACAAACTGAGGGCCCCACTAGGTAGCCCCACCTCCACAGTTATCTGGGGATTTTGTCTTATCCTTTGAAACCAGTGTGGAGACTGACCTGACCTGCAAGCCTCTGCACTGAGACCTATAGCCGAAGTGACAGCCCCGCCAATCTCTGAGTCCCCTTTGGATCCCTCCTTCCTTTGTCTCAAGAATAGATAAGGTCTGAGAATCTGAGAAGCCTGGCAGGCTTCTGTGTTCCTCTGTAGTCTCTCCTTGTTGCTCCCAGTTGGCTGCGTTTCATGCTGCTGACTCCCGTGGAGATGGCTCATGTAAATCTGAACAAATTTCTGAATCACGCACTTGGGTGAACCCTTGATAATCTGTTCACATCCTTTGCTAAATGAATAGGCTGAGAATTTCCTAAATTTTTAGGTATTCCTTCTTACTTTACAATTCCTGTCTTCCAAAATCATTTTTCTCTTCTTGCATTTTGATATAAGTAGTCAGGAGAAGCCAAATTGCTTCTTCAAGATTTGTTTCTGCAAGTCTCCTCAGTTAAATATGCTTATTACAAGTTCTACTTTTGACAAAGCATTAGAACATGAACACAATACTGCCAAGTTCTGTGCTACTTTATATCAATAATTAACTTTTGTCAGTTTCCAATAGAATTGAATCTTTATTTCCATGTGAGAGTTCCTTAGAGTGGCTTTTGCCATCCTTATTTCTACCAATATTCTGTTCCTTCTTCATCAGTATTCTTAGAGACAGAAGCCCTCTTCACAGATTTCCTCTCTGGCTGAAACTGCCTTTGACATTCTATTTATGCGGCAATCTAGGCATTTTATACCCTGTCCTTCACAGCTCTCCCAGTCTCTCCCCGTTGCCGAGCTCCAAAACACTTCCACAATTTTGCTGTTTCTTACAGCATTACACCTACCTTTTAAATTTTTATTTCTATATTAATTACTTTGGGATATTACCACAAAAGACTGGGTGGCTGAGAAAATAAAGAGAAATTTATTTCACCCACATCTGAAGGCTTCAGGTCTAAGAGCAGGGTGCCGGCAGGGTCTGATGAAGGCCTACCTTCAGGTTGCAGCTTCTCACATTAATTCTCACATGGTGAGCAAAGGCAGGATGACTCTCTGGGATGTCTTTCATGCAGACAGTAATTACATTCAGGACCTGCTGCCCTCACAACCTGATCACCAATATCCTTGCCTCACCTCGCTAACAAGGAAAGTTAGAATTTTTCAACCTAATGGATTAGAGTGGAACATAAGTAGTGCACTGCAATATTTGTGTAAGCACTGAGTACTCATATCTAGGTTTCATTTTTAAATTTATAAATATTGGGATTAAAAGTTATGAGAAAGGCAATTAGTAAATTTCTTTAGTTTTTCATCAAACATAGGATTCACTGACTTGATAACTGGGTCATGATTTTGAGTAGTTATATTATTAAAGTCCATGATGTATTGGAAAAATAAAAATGTCCTGTTAGACAGCTTGTGATTTAAGCACAAAATCTAGTGACTCCGGAGCTTGTCCTCTGTGAGATGAACTGTTGCAAACACCGTGTGTTTTTCCATCTTACAGGCTCGAGTTACAGGGAGCACACTAAATGGTAGGAAGGAACAGCTTCAGGCAGAGGAAGGGGATAAGGAAAAATGGGATTTCCTGCAGTTTGCTGAAGCTTGGACTCCAACCGAGTGTGCTGAAGAGCTCCAGAAGGATGTCCTGTTCACTCATGTAAGGTTCAATTTCTTGTCCATTTCTGTTTCTTTATTAACTGAAACTGTAAGTTTATCATATATCATTTTAAGTAAGAACTCTCAATTATTCATCCTAATAAAATGAGACTTGTCAAGTTGGAACACTCTTAGAACCCAAAATTAACACGGATAAAAGTAAGCTCTTATTTTCCCACAGTTTCTACACCCATTTGTTCATGTCCTTAGGTAAACAAGCCAAATAGATTCTAGCCTGCAGAGAAAAGTATAGGAATTCTATCTGTGACCCCGACGGTGTGATTAAATTAAATTAAATCTGCATCAAAAGACATGCATTATAAAGAAATAGTGTGAGATATGTGAATATTTCAAAGTCGGAAACTTAAGGGTGTCTGCATTACCATGTCTAAAGTATATGAAGAATTTATGCAATTTAGTAAAAATGCCCACAAATCAGCAGAAAATCAAAGAATGTCAATGTTAGAAAAGAAATGAATAGCCAACAGACATGGGGAACATGGCTCACTAACATAAGGTCGATGTAAAGATCGCTTTTACTGTTAAAATTAGCACTGGGTGGTGGGATACTTTCAGATCATGTGACAGTCCTGTTCCCAAAAACCCAGTGGTTTCACCATTCATTAATGACCTTTGCCTGGCTTAGGTTTGAAATGGTGGTGATTTCTTCAACTCTTCTGTATTAGCTAGCATTTTTCTGTGTTAAAAAAAAATTTCCTCCTCCTTAAAAAGTATCACTGCGAACTTAGAGGTTCTTTTCTTCACTTGATATTATTTAGTCTTTCACTTTTTTTTTTTTAAGTTAGATTATACTAGTGAGTTGTTTAAACTGGCTCTTCTACCACCAGCACCACTCCCACAACTTACCCATAATTCTAAATCTTTTTTTCTTGGAACACAATTTATTTACATTCACCTTGAAATTCCTTTCATACTGGTTTAGAACTAGCCATTTTTTTTTCTTGGTTCCTTTTTGCTTAAATGATATTTGTGCTTTAGGACTTTTAAGACTTACTCTGGGTCTGGGGCAATGGCTAAATCAGCTAATTCTCTGCATGTGAATGCCAGCATCCCATGTGGACAGCAATTCGTGTCCTGGCTACTGTTGTTCCTATTCAGCTCCCTGCTTATGGCAAAGGAAAGCAGTGGAGGATGACCCAAAGCCTTGGGATCCTGCACTCACATGAGAGACTGAGAAAAAGTTACTGGCTTCAGATCAGCTGAGCTCTGGCCATTGTGGCCATTTGGGTCGGAGCCAATGGTCGATAGATCTTTCTCTCTTACTCTGTGCTCTATCAATCTACCTTTCCAATAAGAATAAATAAATCTTTCTTTTAAAAACAAAGAGTTACAGGCCTGGCACAATTGCCCTGTGGCTAAATCCTCACCTTGCTGGGATTCCATATGGATACCGGTTTGTGTCCCAGCTACTCTACTTCCCATCCAGCTCTCTGCTTGTGCCTGGGAAAGCAGTAGAGGATGACTCAAAACCATAAGACTCTACACTCACATGAGGCACACAGAAGACGCTTCTGGCTCCTGGCTTCAGATTAGCTCAGCTTCAGGTGCTGAGGCCATTTGGCTAGTAAACCAATGGATGATAAATCTTTCTCTGTGTCTCTCCTCTCTCTAAATCTGCCTTTCCAAGAAAAATAAATTTTTTATTAAAAAGAAAAAAGATATTTACTCTGAGCTATCTTTGCTCCTAGGGTATTTTCTCATTGTACAGAGCTACATATGCACACACACACACATACACATTTGCATAAGTAGATAGATCAATATTCATATTTGAAGGCACTTCAGAAAATTCATAGAAAATGAAATTAAAATATATTTTGGTGCACAAAAATTGATATCCATGCATACCCATACTTCTAACAGTTTATGGAAATACATATTATGAAAAAAAACTGCATTGATGTCAAAATTCTTACATCTAAATAAGCTTATGTTTAAATTCCATTTTCCACTGACTTCTTGTTATATCCTTGTATGTAAATGATTGTAAGCCGCAAAGTTGTGCTAATTCTTCCAACTGAAACCCAGTATCACCAAAACTTTCTATTTCTTTTATTCAATGGCAAGAATGCTGATCCCAAACATCAACATACTTATTCATTTACTGTGTCCTTCAGTACTTGTGAAATAGTTTTAAAATTATACCTGAACCACTATCTACAAGTGAGTAAAATTCAAGTGCTTTGCAGTTCTCACTAAGGAAACATGGTCATGTAGTCTGCTTGAATTCTTTTGTTTCCATGTTGTTGATATGTATTTAGGTTCGTTTGTTTCTGTGTTTAGTTCTAGGTTTTTATTTTATAAATATTTTTAATCTAACTTTATATTTTAAACATTTAAAATAGTTAGCTAGTCAAAAAGTCAAAATTTAAAACTTTATTTAAAAAGCACACACAGAGAAGTCTCACTCTCATTCCTATTTTTGCTGCTACCTATCCTTGCTAGGTAACTACTTTTATGAATTTCTGATTTTTTCATGGCTTCTCTCTCTCTCTCTCTCTCTCTCTATCTCTATCTCTCTCTCTCTCTCCCTCTCTTTCTCTCCCTCTCTCTCTCCCCCCCCCTCTCCCTTTCAGATTTATTTCTTTATTTGAAAGTCATAGTTAAAGAAAAGCACAGAACTCTTCCATTCCCTAGTTCATCCCTGAGATGTTCATATTAGCCAGGGCTGGGCCAGCCTCAAGCCGGAAGCCAGGAGCTTCTTCGGGTCTTTCATTTGGCTGTAGAGGTCCAAACACTTGGGACATCCACTGAATTTGCCAGGCCGTTAGCAGGGAGCTGGATCAGTAGCAGAGGAGCTGGGACACAAACCTGTACCCACAGAGAATGCCACTATTAACAGGCAGTGGCTTTATCCAATATACCACAGTGTTGACCCTCTTTTAAGATTTTTTCAGGATTTATGAATTTATGATTGGAAGCTAAAGTTACAAAGAAAGAAGGAGTGACAGAGAAATCTTCTTCCCTCTCTTTCACTCCCAAATTGCCACAATAGCCAAGGGTAGACCAGGCCAAAGGCAGGAGCCAGCCTGGATCGCCATCTGGATCTCACACGTGAGTGTGGGCCAAGCACATGGACCGTCTTCTGTGGCTTTCCCCGGATACATAAGAAGGAAATGGGATTGGAAGTGGAGTAGTTGGAACACAAACTGGCACTCAGTGTGAGATGCTGGTCTTGAGTTGCATTCCACAGAATTATTATTTTTATGTGAAATTGCAATAAACTTTTCATATGTTTTCTTTGGAGGATTAGTGCATTTCCTGTCAAACACCACCCCGCCATGCCAAGGATACCAGAATGCCATTCTGCAAAATATTGATTAAAAATTAAAATGATTTCTTTACTATTTTTAAAAAGTTTAATTAATTGATTATTTGTAAGGCAGAGTGACAGAGTATGAGAAATAGAGGGAGACCCTCCATCTGCTGGCTCGCCACCCACATGCCTTATAATACCTAGAGCTGGACAGGGTTGTAACCATGAGCCAGAAACTCCATCCAGTTTTCCCACGTGGGTGTAGGTATCCAAATATTTGGGCCATCTGCTAGATCTCAAATGTATTAACAAAATATTGAATGGGAGCATGGATAGAATCCATCCCAGATACTCTTGATATAGGATACAGATATTCTAAGCTGCGATTTAACCATGCCACGAATACTTGCAATAATTTTTTTCCAGTAGAAAACTTTTCAAGGGCAAGGGTTTGGCACAGTAGTTAAAGATTACTTGGGATGTCCACATCCACTAAAAGAGCCTGGTTCAAGTCTCTTCTGCTTCATTCTGTCATGAATCCTGGGAGGAAGCAGATGCTGGCCCAAGTACTTGGCTCCTGCCACCCAAGTGGAAGTCCTGGGTGGATTTTCAGGCCCCTTGCTTCAGCCTGACCCAGCCCTGGCTCTTATGGACAGTTAAGGAATGAACCTGTAGATTGTAGACACCTGTTCCTATCTCTTTCTCTGCTTTTCAAGGAAAATGAAAATAAATTAGGAAAACAAAAAGCTCCCTACCTTTAACAGTGTTTATTACATTATGTTCTGCAAACAAAAAAAATCAGTGTAAATCCTAATTATTTCAAAAGTATATAAATAAAATGATTTGTGACCATTCTTTCTTTAAAATTTCCCAACTATGAAACTCTGTTTTATTTCTAATATAGGCAATTAGAATTTGAAACACGTTCTCCTGTATGTTACATGTTTATTGTGTCTTAAACATTTGGCTGAAGAAAATATCTATGTACGGAGTTTAAAAAAATAATTCTTACCGCATCTTAATTTCTAAGTTGGATGTGCATATTTTATAGTTTAGTGTTATTTTGAGCAGATTTCCTAGCACATTTCTTTATACACTCATGACTTTTGTAAAATGGAACCTTAAATGTAGAGACTCCTTATTTTTATTTGTTGGGCTTTCCTCTCACTTGTTTGGTATTTTACTAGCATATGAAATGCATTTTGTCTATTTATTTAAGAGGCAGAGGGACAGAAAAAGAGAACTGTTGTTCTCATCCATGGTTCTTTCCCAAATGCCTACAATGGCAAGGAATGGAACATGACCAAATCTATGGGCCAGGAGCTCAATCCAGGTCTCCCACAGGCTGAACACTCATTGATGCCTCCCAGGGTCTGCATTACCAGGAACCAGAAACAGAACTGAATATGAAACCCGGGCACTTGAGTGTGCGACACAGGTGTCTTCCCTACAAAGCTAAGCACTGCCTGGCAGTGTGCTTTGGTTGACTTGAGGTGGGCATGCCCTCCTGCTACTATATTCACTACCTTCCAGCCTCATGCATTTAAACTAATGTTCAGTTTGTTGAAAGATTCCAAGGGAACACAGTCTGAACTTCTCTTCTGAATGTTGTCAGAATTTCAGCATTTCCTATGGGAATTTGTCTATTTATATTCGTTTCTTACTGTACCTCTTTAAAAGCCTTCAGAAACTTTTTTTTTGTTTTGGCCAACATTTAGCATTTT